TCTTTCCCTTTCTCTTTCTCTTTCTCTATTTCTTTTCCCTTCTTTTCTTTTCCTTTTTCTTTCTTTTCGGAAATGTCACGCGGTCACGCGCGTCACAGCAGTCGTGTCTCGAAGCTCGTACGCGTATCGTTCGACGATCGAGATTCGAGACGACGATTCCGTTGCATCCTGTTGCACGCCCGCGCCTCGTTGCAGTCTTTGTGTCATAGATTCAGCGATGAAACGAACTGAACTCGATAGGAACAAGCAAAGGGGTTGTCAAGTTAGCGCGATAGGCTCGACCAAGGCGGGTACGTGGTCCAGAACATGGTTAAACAACGAATCTCGATCGAAACACTCGTTTCCAAACGACCGTCTTCCCGATTTATCCGAACGATCCCGACCTGTCCCCCTTCGACCGAGGGACCGAGCCTCGAATGGGATCGATTAACGAAAACACGTTTTCTTGAATTGATTGAGAAACACGTGTAGATACATCGAATCTACGTCAACGAAACGGGTACTCGAGTCGCCTAGCGAATGCCGTTTGGAAGCAAACTTTTCGATCGACTGTGGGTTGTTCTTTATAGAGTCGTTCGACCTGGATTGATCAGTGCTCTCGACGCAAGTTTGTCGCAGCCAATCCCGTAGATTCCACGTTCTTTCCATCAGGTTCGAGGAGTGTTTCTCAACGGTACAAACGCTGGTGGTGAAGCCGCTGTTAGGACCATATTGGGCGATGATGTTTTGCGTTGTGGGTGTGGGTGGTTGCGTGACTGTTAACTGAGACAGGATGTTCGACTGAATATTCGGTGTGCCGAATGTTCCTGAAAGACATCGGCGATCGAGGTTAACGACAGCGTTCTTCAACTTCGAGAAATCGAGTCGAAGAAGTCGTTCCCGCGGCTACACTCACCTTGCACGTTGCTCGACTGGGCCGTAAGATGATGGAAACGTAGCCATCGCAAATAAGAATACATCAATGTCGGTGGCGGCGGTATGTCCGTGTCTTGACGTTTATTCAGCACGCCCCAGATCTCACGTATTTCCGAGTTTAGGTTTTCCAGGCTTGCGATGATTTCCGTCGACTCCTGGTAGTGATCCGGTTTCTCTGAGTACGAAGGATCAAGACGACAAGATCGAAAAGAAATTCTTGAGTGGAAGAAAATCAACGAAAGACTGCGCTTCGACCGAAGGAAAACGGGTGGCGAAACGAAACGACGAAAGCGAAGGATGGCAACTAAAAAGATAACTGATAGCGGAATAGGGGAGAGAGAAAGAGAGAGAGAGAGAGAGAGAGAGAGAGAGAGAGAGAGAAATTATCACAGCCGCTCACCTGTGAACGTGTCGGTTCTCATGTCGGTCGAACTGATGCCACTGCTCACGCTGGACATTTCGCTCAACGACAATTCCTCGTTTTTCGTTATAGTCGAGTCGTTCTCGTTCGTTTTCGCGTTAACCACTCTCTCCAGGGACTGCTCGAGGTGCCTCAGATGGATCACTTTCTCGCCCAGAAGGCTCTTGGTTCGATGCAAATTCACCTCCATGTCCGACAGCTCGCGTTCTTCCTGAAATTCCGAGCAACCGATTCATTCCGAGTGCCGATCAACGATTTCTCGGGAAACTCTCTGCTAGGGAAACCGAGAAATTCTCTGCTAGGGAAAGGATACCTGAACCAATTGCTCGAGGGTCGCTTTGACGCTACGTTGCTTCCAAGCCATCTGTCGTCCCTGGAACACGTTCTCCTGATGTCTCAACGCCTCCCGTGCTCTCTTCACCGAGTCCCTTTCGACGTGAATTCGGTGCCGGAAGAACTCCAGCTCCGAGGAGGCGTTCGCCGGTGCTAGAAAATCGAGCAGAATCCTTTTCGGTGTCACCCGACGAGCTCGTACACTTGACGATGCTGGTGTAAGCAGCGTGCGAGAAAATAGGTAACGAGAAAAGAAAGAAAGGAAACTAAAGACAACGAACCTTGGGTGATGGAGAAAATAAAAAAAAGTCTGTCGGTGCACTTACGAGCGAGTGAGAGTGTGAAGCCACTAGTTAAAGTAGAGTGTATAGATGCCTGGGGAAAGAAAAGAAAACGATAATCGATTCTCAAACTGGAGAAACGAAAACGTAAATAAATAATCGCGTACGCGAGAACGTAAAGGAAGCGATAAAAAGCTGCGAATATCGGATTTTACGTGAGACGGTCTCTAGCGAAACTACGTATTCGGAGATTACCGCGACAATGGTCGGTGGTGATCCCTTTGCGGAAAGTTACCTTTGTCTTGAAAAGGATATCGCAACGTGTAGGCCGTTTCGTTACTTGGCAATTGATCACCGAGATCCTCGAGCTTCTCCAGCTGCTTTCTGATGTTCTCGACCGGATTTTCGAGGTTGTTGTTATTGTTGTTGACGTTATTGCCGGTGGAAGGGTTCGGTTTCGCGGCGGTGGTCGGTTTCTTGCCAATGTTCTTCTTCGCGGTGGTCATGTTCGCGTTCGTCTCGCTGGCGAGGCTGGTGTCAACGGAATGGAATCTCACGTTCTTTGCGTTCGACGTAGCTGCGCTCTTCTGAAACCCCGAGTTCGTCTTCTGAACGTTCGGTTCGTTCGGATCGTGTAATTCTTCCGACTGCTCGTTTGTGGTCGTCTGAGTCTCGTGCGCTTTAGTGTTCGTCGTCGCCGAGCTCGAATGCGTGTTTCGTAGTGGGGTACTGCGAGCACGATTTAAGGCCTATAGCCAGACATTAGGACGAATCGCATGAACGTGATGGAGTACCTTCACAGTTTTCGTCTCGCTACGCGCGACTGTTAACATTACGGAGGAACACCGGTTCGATTTCGTAATTTACACGACTGTGACATTCGTCAGATCCGATCATCCGAGATACGGACTATGTAACACGTACATAGGGGAGGTAACGAATGTGCTGAGACTCAGAGGTGTAGTAAGTGGCATTGACTATGAAGGTACTGGAATTGGTGACGAGGAGAATGGATTGTGCAAGATCTTAATGCTAATACAGTGAACGCTTGATCCAAACAGAAATATCGTAACACGTGGATAAAAACCGTGCTTCCGACTGATTTGCTAAAGTCATGACACGTACAAGTGGTTCAGAGCGCGATCCAACATGTCAACCCTTTGCGATTCAATTCGTTTCTCTGATTTCACGCGCCCTCCTCTTGTATGACGCCGCTAGAATGGCGCGACAGCCTAAAATATTGCAATTAAATACCGAAAGTTGATCCAAGTGACAGTGGAAAAGCAAACGGTTGACCGGAACGAAAACTAGCGAAGGGAGAAGCCTGAATTCACTCACTTTTGATCCGACGACTCGGTTTTCTCCGTTCTCGTTCTCGTCGACGTCGATCGTTCCGTCTCCGAGGCCGTGGTGTACCCCTCCTTCCTTTTGTTCCTCCTTTCGATAAACGAACGAACCTCCTCCTTTAGCTTCCTGTACTTTTCCTTCAACGCTAGGTATTTGTCCTGTATCAGTCGCCTCTCGCAACGCATTCTCTCGTACTGGAAGCTATCTATCATGATAGTCTGGCCCGATCGTCTCTTTGCCTCTATCTCTGCGTCGCGCGAAAAATCCACCTGAATCTCCGTCAAACGCTGCTTATACATCTTCAGGGTGCGATCCTCCTGAAACCACAACAGCAAACATTTTTCAGTCACGAGCTCGCGCCGTCTCTCTTCTATTTCCCATCTTTCCGATCTCTCCGATCTATCCGATCGTCTTCCCATCGTGCACGGGTACCAGAAAGAACCTGAATAATTTATAAGGTAGGTGTACCGGTAATCGGCAGGCCGTGTGTGTTCGGGTCGATTGACATATGTAAGAGTGTTTGGTTTGCGATGGTATACACTACAGCTTTATTGGTCTTCGAATATAATTTTCTTCTCTTTTTTTCTTTTTTCTTTTCTTTCTTTCTTTTTTTTTTTTTTTTTTTTTTTTTTTTGGAAAAATGACATATTTATTTACGCCAAAGGAACCGACGAGCTGCCGCTTTATCGCGTTCGCAGAAAGAAATTGCACGTATGTAACGAGTTAACCAATCGTTGCATAACATTGTTCGCATCGTACCCATAACCTAGTATCCTTAAGAAACAACGTGGTCGTTAAACCGACGGTTACGCAATTCAACGAGAAAAATAAATCTTCGGTAGGGACAGGAAAATGATACGTTGCGCAATAACAAAGTGTACAGAGTTGCACAGGGTACTTACAATTAGGATAACAGACATCGTCAGGTACTCACGTTGATTTTAAAATCGCGTAGAATTTCGACTAGACGTTTCTCGTGCTCCTCCGTGATTTTCGTAATGTTCTCCTTCTGTTGCACACGCAGCTGAGTTCGCAACTCGTCGAACTCTTTATCCAATTCCGTCTTCATCGCTTTTATTCTCGCCGAGTGTTGCTTCGTCAGTTTGATCTCGCTGAGTTTCGCCAGTTTCTCCTCGTCGAGGTCGCGTTCGTGCTCGTTCTCCAATTTTCCCATTTCCTGATTCCGTAGTTCCAACAATTCACCTTTCCTCTCGTCGAGCTCGGTCTTCAGATTCGTCAGGATCTCTTGTCTCTCCTTCTCGTAGCACACTTCCAATTCAGCCTTCACCTTTTTCAGGTTCTCCAACTTCGCCTCGTCCATCTCGGCGATCAATTTCTGGATCTCTCGTTCCTCCTGAAAGAATCGTATGAAACGATTAGAAAAATTAGCTAGATCCAAACGATTCGATGGATCGTGCAACGTAACCAAGCCTACCTTCACCACCATCTTCCGTCTCAAATCTTCCAGCTTGTCGGTCAGCTGCTTCTCCAATTGCTCCTTCTGTTCCATGAAATTCTCCTCCAGCTCCTTCTTCACCTGCTCCAGCTTGTCCTTGTAATCTTTCCTCAGCGCTTCGACGTCCCTCTGATGCTCCTCGCTCAATCTCGTCTTCGTTTCCTCCAGGATCTTGCTCTGCTCGTCCTTTCCCGACGCTTCGCTCCGTTCCTTCCGCGAGAGATCGGCTTCCGGATTGACCTTGGAAAAGTCGGAAGTATCCTCGTCGTCGGTTTGCTCGTTCCGCAAGAAATCCACCTTCGGCTTGATCCTCCTGCGCGCTTCGGAGTCGCTGTGGTCGGTCTCGCTCTTCAACACCAGGTCGATGTTTTTGATTTTGTTAAATTTGTTCGAGTACGTGTAATCCAGACTGCTTTCTCTCGACAGGCTCTCCCCGGATAGACTGTCTCGCGCCATTTGGACACGGTGCTCCTTCTCGGAAACGTTCTGCAGGGTGAACCTCTTGCGATGTTCGTTCTCGGGAACGTTCCTCACGACGAACCTCTTGCCCACGAGTTTCCCGTTCCTCTTCGAGACGTCGATCTTGTCCGCCGACAAACTCCTCTTCATACTCGCGTCCAACTGGCTCTCCGAGTCTTCCTTGGTCTCGTCGTTCGATCTTTGGCAATTCGACTTTTGCGACGAGGGAGTCCAATCAGGATCGCGGCTCGTGAACACCTGAGCGAGCATCTGCGCGTCCTGTCCCTCGGATTCCGATTCGGAATCGTCCTCGGACCTGGAGTAGGTGAACTTGATGTCCACTTCCTTCTCTATGTCGAAGCGTACACTCTTGCGTTCCTCGTCCACCGGTCTGACATCTGTTGGGAATAGGAGATAAATTTGACGATCTGCAGAAGGATTTCATACTAGACGTAATTTCCTTACCGTCTTCCGACTGTTTCTCCCTGAGAATCGACTTCAACTTGTCCCCTCCGACGTTGCTGCTCTCGTCCGGGATCAGCATGGTCCGGAACTCCTCGATCTTGGCGCCCTCGTGGCTAGGGGTCGTGTCTCTGCTCCTGTTGCTCTTCAGAAACATCGTCCCACCGCCGCTGAGCGTGAGTTCCTTTTGCTGGCCGAATTGACTAGGGTGTTTCTCCTTGTCGAACTTCTCGGCCTTTTCCGACCTGGCTAACGTGGTCATGCTGAGCTTGTCGATGTCTATGATGTTCTCCTCGGAATTGAACCTACTGGACAGCTGCTCCCAGTCTTTCTCGTGCCTCGGACTCAGGGATTCCGATCTCTTCAGCACCTCCTTCAAGTCTATCTCTTGCATCGGCGTGGTGATCGTGGAGGCATTTGAGATCGACGTGGTCATTTCCAAGAGCCTAGGACATTCGTAGAACTTTGGATCTTGGAACTTGAGGTTCGTGTAGTCTCTGGCAGCTCTGTTATTTGCCAGAGGATTCTCCATTTTCGAGTCGTCCCGTTTAGATTGTTGCCTCTCTTGGCCGGCAGCGTCTTTCTTCTTCGCGCCATCGAGCTTGTCTAGCTTCTTCAGAGGCGTCAGCTTCGTGGGGATTCTGGTTGGCGACGGATTGGTCTTGTTGGATTGCTTGGTCGGTTCCTTCGGCGCGGAGGTATCTTTCGGCAGAGTCGCTTCCTCGTGCGACTCGAGGTCCTTGGCCGTCGTTTTCGAGTCGTCCTCTGCCGATCAGAAAACACGCTTTGTATAGCTTACGCGGGCTGTTTCGACGCTGTCGAGAGAGAGAGAGAGAGAGAGAGAGAAAGAGACAAGCTCGGAAGAGGCGAGAGTCGATACTCTCTTTCCAAGGATCAGAGAAACGCGCGCAAACTTTTTCCCGCTCGCGATGGCCCACTCGAGCGAGAAGAGGCGACAGTGTCAACGTTCCCTCGCGAGCGAGTCAACGACTGTTTTTTCCCTCTTTTTCCTCTTTTTTACACTCGCCACCGAGGTAAGAGTGGCAGCGATGAAACGGATAAGAAAATATGCCTAAAAGCCCGAAAGAGCGCCAAAGCTGTTATTATTTAACAACGGAGCGTACACTCGTCCTATCTGAAATGTCGAGCATTTACGTCAAGTGACTCTGTTCTTCCTTTCATTTTTTTCATTTTTTTTTTTTTCCTGTTTTCCTTTGTTACGACGATCCTGTCTGTCTCTTATGTCTCGCGAAAAGGAACGAGAAGGAAAAAGAAATCTTTCGCGAGCGAAACGTGGACGAGTGTCTGTCGGATTTGTTGCACCGATCTACGAAGCTCGGTGCACAAAGCGTGACATTTCGTCTTTCAGCGACATTTGCATCGCAAAACAGCGCGTGCATAGGAAGGAACATTGTACCAGTGGCAACGAGGCAAAGTAGATAACGAATAGATTCATGCATATACATGTCGACATCGATACGCGTACGTACGAAGACCCTGTAACAGGTGACAGAGTGGAGAGGGAGGCGGTTACTTATAGACCCTAGTCCGTAATTCCGATTCGCGTTTTCGAGTCTAACGACGACGCATGCCTCGTTAATCCGCGTACCAGGTATCTGGACCAAGGCTAATCTCTCCCGCGAAATTCCCGCGCCGAAAGAAAATTCGTTCTCGAAAGATGGCGAAATCGCGTTTCGAGCGTAATACGTGCGCAGTCTCGTTTCCACTTCGAATCCATTACGGCGATGGGAAAATGTCGCTCCGCGCACGAGCAGCGTGCCCAAGTGTCCTCGATGGGGTGGGAAAATTTCAAAAAACCCCGCCCTTTGGACCGGTGTGCCTTTAATCTTCCGCCGGTTTCCGATGTAAAAATGAGAATGCCAAAGGGTGAGAACTGCCAACAAATATTGACATTTCACGCTCGCGTAGCCCCGCTCGTCCCATTCCGCGAAAGTCGTGGCGCGATCGACGCGTCTTTACATCTAGGTCTCGCGACGCTTGACCGTGACATCGGCAATGATATTTCGGACGAAAGAACACGCGCGACGCGGCGTAGCACGAGAATGAGACGCATTACCCTGTCCATCGTGACCCTGACGCGGTGGTTCGAGGTTCATGTCGAACGGTCGCAGACCCGGGCGACAAAATGGCCGATGAGATTCGGGCTGACGAGCGAAACGCGCAACGCGCAACGGGAAAGGCGAGAAATTCGCGGGAGCGTTGATCGGTACCCCTTTGGAGCGGAGACTGTGTCAGCAGCTTGGGTACAGCAGCCGGTAAAGAGCGTTCGCGATGGCGACACGCAACGATTCGCGTTCGATGGACGGGGACGCGATAATTGGACGGATCTACGTTCAAGCAACTATTACGTACTTTCACGAGCGAGCGCACCGACACGTGAGTGCCTTAACGAATGCGTGCACGGTGAGTACCGGCTCGAAAGAGTTTGAAGGGTCCTCTGCGAGGAGCGAGCGGCGCGTCCGCATCCAGTGGAAGAAGTCGCGCAACGAATTCGCTGGCGTATAAATTTATCGTAATGGAACCGGATCGCGGTACACGGCCTTTAGTCACGGTTCACAGGACGTGTTTCGCTTTCTACGAAAACAATCGTTACGTTCCAAGCGAGGACGCGAGCGATACCCTCCCGGCGATGAACTTTGACGAGCAGACGTCGGAATTAATTTACGCGGTGTTTACAACGGATTATCGTGTTTGTTATATAAAGGCATCGGGAGAGTCGCGCGAGATAAGATTAACGTTACCGCAATCGATACACGTGTTGGTAAATAATTAATAAACGGAGCGGTCCGGCCGCGATCCTGCACGCTCGTGAATCGAGAGGTTACGTAAAGCTCGCATGCCTGCACTGTGGCTTACATAGCTGTGAACTACGCGGCGTTACGTAAAAAAACCGAGTCAATAAGTAGAGGCTGTTTCGTTGCCTTCGGTCTGCCGCGGTCATTGAAAAAGAAAACGACGCGCGGTCTGTAATTGTACCGACTCGATGCCTCGAGATCGTGCGCGAGACGATATTCCCGCTTTACGTAATCGCCACGAATCGTTTGGCTGACGCGTGACCGAACGACGGTCCACCAACGTGGACCACGCGTCGAACGACACCGATCGCACGCTTAATTAAGAGTACGCCAAGAGGTGTAAGTTGGCGACGATATCGGGGAAAAATTTCCGCGAAAGCACCTAAAAATATAATCCACGCTTGACGAACAGCCAGCCTGGGCTTCGATTGGCAAACGGATACTCGGGATTTCGATGCCGGTGTACTCTTGGCAAAGCGTGTACCGAACAGCGCGAGGAACAGCGTTAACGCGGATCGACCATGCCCGAAGATTTTTGGCAATCGTAAGTAGCAACGGGATGGTCGCGTTGAAAACGTAACGAGACTCCTCGCACCTCCGATGACAATTCGTACGCCTAATTTCTACGATCTCGGGAGACGAGGAAACCACGTTAGATTTTCGAGCAGATACGATTATCTTATCTGGTTGTTTACTGGAACTCGCGGCGATAAGCCGTGTTCGGCTACGAAAGATATAGATGCAGGCGAATTACGCGCTATCGAGTGGTCGTTATCGAGTGAAAGCTCTGATCCGAGAGAAAGACGAGTTGTCCGACGATGCGTGGAATTATCAATTTCAACAGCCAGAAACGGACTCGTGCCCGTTCGGAGTGGAAACGAACGTGGAGCCAGCAAGGTGACAAGAGAACGATTACCGTAGTCTTTGGTCTTTTTCGAGTGCGAGGTTTAACCCTTTGCACGACGACTCTGTCTCGCGTTGCCTGCCACCGGAGAAGCAAAAGAGAAAGAATCACGCCATTACGATTCGATGATACGCATATTGTGCTTTATTTATACACCATGATCTACATACATGTACAAAACGCGAATATACGTGGTTCGATGAATAATTTACTCCCTGGTTAGAGGGGCGATAGACGACGACGGATAAAAAAATATTACATCGTGTTTTATCATTTTTCGATCAGTCTTCTCGTCAATTTCACACGCTCTGCAACTCGATACGCATCGATCGTGGATGCACGGACAAGTAGAAACGTATTTGCGATTAGACGACTAGAACGTACGCGGAACTCTACCGGTTCCATCGGTGTACCGATGAAAAAAGTGGATGATGCATCGGTTAATCAGTCTTTGTCTCTATTAAGCGCAAAGTGCAGCCAAGTGATATCGGTCCAAGTGCAAAGGGTTAATCCTATATTTTCCATTCAGCCGTAATGACGAGGCAATCCGTACCGACGCTGATTTGCCTGGTGTTACCGGGCCTGGTGTTGCCAGCCCTGGCCTGGTCGACCATCTCCTTGTAAATCGCGTCCAGCGGATGCTGCCAGGTAGTAGTTCCGGTCGAGGCCTGATAGTAGTACCAGGCGCCGCTGGTCTCGTGGAAGCATGGTAGCCAGCCCTTCGGGAGAGCCGCCATCAGGCCCTCCCGGGCCAAATTCAGCAGGTGTGGTTCCGTATCCGGGTCGATTCCCAAACGCCTCGCATATTCCAGTACCTCTGAAAAAGCACACGTGCTCCATTAGCTGATTAGAAAGCGGGTGGCGGACCGTGTGTGCCTCGCTCGGGGTGCACGGGGTATTAATTTGCCTGGAAACGCGCATTTACCGCCTCCCGTTCGCCTCCTATTCGCCTCGCATTAGCCTCGTATTAGCCTCGCATTAGCCTCGCGTACGTGTGCATGCCGGGTATTTTTACGAAACGGGAAAGAAGGTCAAGGACTCGTCGAGCGAAGAATAAAGTTCTTCGCCGCTTCTACGCGAGCGTGAATTTTTCCCAAGTATCGCTCGAGCTCGCGCCATCCGACCCGACCACCACGGGGCTCTTTATTATACACGGTTAGAGGTATATCGAATTTATAAACTATCGCGCGTTATAAATACCCTCGTCGACAGGTAATAAAGTAAGTATCAATAAGCCAGCGAAACGAGCTAATTTCAAAGTTCTTCGGGTCTCCGTATGCGAAGCGTGACACGTTCATCGATTACAGACCAGGTGGAGGAGTACACGTGGCCATAGGGGACTCTGTCCCTCGAGAAGAAGGGGCACGTCGAAAAGTGTTTACGCGTCCTACGCGAATACGTTCTACCGTCTAACAATCGTCGATACTAAAAACGAAACTCTACTTTCCGTGTGTCGCGTATCAAGCTAATTAGCGATAAGGTTGAACGTTCGTCAGCGCTCGTCCTATCACGCGCGTATTTGCCGAGCAAATTTCGATCCGGTTCAGGTTTAATTAACTTCGTAGCGACGCGCGTCGGTTACCTATGCCTAAAATTGCCACATTAACCGACAGAGTTCATACGCAGTTCGAACGTGCAAAGGTACCACGTTAATTTCGACACCGCGTGTCGTTCGTTTCCCGTTAAACACAATTCGCGCCTGCGCCGTGCAGAAGTCGAGACTTAATCCCCTGGATAAACTTCGATACCGATTCATCGATCCTCGTCGACGATAAGGAAGCTACCGATTATCAGCTGTTTCTCTCTTCGTCGCCAGCCTTTCGCGGCTAAGGGAAAGGAAATTGATCCCGGTAACCGTGAAATAGCGTTTAAAAGCGGCTACCATCGCGTATCGACTGTGAAGCAACGCGAGCAGCGTCTAAGATTAAAACGCGCGGCCAACGACGGCGACGCGGAATAAAGGGGTGGTTCGACGAGGGTAGCCTGAATGCTTCGCGTTTTCTCGTGGAACTGCGGAATCGCGACGACGAGGATACAAAGGGAGCCGATTAAAAATTCCATCATGGAAGTCTTTGACAGGTGGCCGAGTATGGGGGAAACCGCCACATCTGTCCTTCCTGCGATGGCGAAAATTTCGTGGCTATGGCGGTGGGAACGCGCGAGTTTCGCCGCGGTTTCCTGCGGAATCTTGCGAAACGGGACACCAGCGCGAATTTCCCTTTCGATCTTTCCCAGTTTCGCAGATTTTTCCCTGCGGGATCTGACCGGTGGTACAGACAGCAAAGGGGGAGGTCCTCCAGGCTTATGACAAAACTTTCGCCGCACTGCGGATTCTATTGATTTTCCTCGCCACGCTAGGGTACGAGCTCGGTGTTCCCGTCTGACCAGGGTGTAAATAAACAAGGAAACTCGCCAACGAAACTGTTCAACCCTCTGCACCGTTTTATCCACGACTTTTTATATATCAACTTCCTCCTGTCGATCTTTCATCCGTTTTGTCCGGTTATTGCACCGCGAGCGAATTTCGCTCCCTCACTCTCTCTCTCTCTCTCTCTCTCTCTCTCTCTCTCCCCTGTCTCTCTCTCTCTCTCTCTTCCGTAACCTCTCCACGAAAAATTCTCGTTTTCTCCTTCTCTCGTTCGGTTGTTCGAATGGAGAGACGCGAAGCGGAGAGAAAGAATCGCCGGCCGTTGAATCGATATAAGGAGACACTGGTTGGTTCGTTTCGAAATTAACGCGTCCCCGGAATGGCGACTGGTAAATGTCACGAGCATCGCTTTCCGATGTTTCGCGAGAAGCAAACGCCGTCTCGCGTTGCTCCGTGTGGCAAAACGAGTCGCAAATACCCGGTCGCGGTTTCCTTTGTGCGAAACGGATCGTTAAATATGCTAATCGAAGTCTCGATATGGATTGTTTAACCTTTGCTCGAGCTAATTAGCCGTTTCGTGGTCTGATTCGAGGCCGGTGGAAAGGAGCCTCGCGAGGTAGCGGGATGACGCGTAATAAGGCGAAATATATCTAGCAACGATACCGTGATTACCGAATCCTCGCCGTTTCCAAGGATTCGCGAAACAGCGAGAAAGAGAGAGAGAGAGTGAGAGAGAGAGAGAGAGAAGAGAGAGAGGAAAAGGAAAAAGGACTTGGAGGGAGAGGAAGGGAGAGCCGGAAGTGTGTATGACAGTCGGTGGCGAGCGAAGAAAACCACCCCGTGCTACATCGATCGAGAGAGGAAAGCTGGCAGAGAACGGGAGTGGAAAGTGGCGAGAGGAAAGAGGGCGATGGTGAAAATTGACGGTTTTCCACGTACCTTCGTCTGACGGATGCGAGGTGCCGTCGAAGATCTCCTTGCACACGATCGTGGCTGCGCTTTCCTGAGAAACACTCATGCTAGCACGAACAGCCGAGTCCCTGGCGCAGGAGGTTCACATAACGCGTGAAACGTGGACTTGCCTAGGCCGCGGACAATACACGGAAGAGTCGCGTGGGCCGATAAACGTCATTTTTCGTAACGACGACGCGTGCACGCGAGACTTTCGCTCCGCCGACGAGGCCTGTCCGACGACAGTCAACGTTCAATTCGACTTGAACGTAGGCGGTGGAAGGAGGAGCGAACACGAAGCGTGCAGCGCCCCCGGTAGCCTGACCTCGAACTAGGCCAATGATAAGGAAACGAGTTACAGCCGGCGGCAACTGTCTTATCGATTAACCGAAAGCCAGCAGCGATGCCGTTCTTGTTGGCATCGGGTGCGCGGGAAATATCTCGATCCGGCTGCACGAGCGCGACTCCGCTTTTTCCTCCTTTCCTCTCCTTTTTCTCCCATTTCTAGCTTCGTTCGCCGCGTCGAGAATTGGAGTGGAACGCGTCGCTTCTGTGCCGCCTAGAGAATGGACCGATGAGATGCTGATGACCTCGCTCTCGGTTACGGCCGTCGCTCACGCTTTACTTACTTTCGCGTTTAAGCTCCTTTCGCGAGCTGAATGAACTTTCTTGCCTTTGTAAAGCTTCTGCCAATCATTTCGGATGACACTTTGCAGTTCGCCAAACCGTAACCGCGTTTTCCCAAAGTATCTTTCGTATTTCCTAATTCCACGTGTTTCCGAACAGAGGAATACTCCAAAGAACGTGATTACTCCCCCCGGTTTTTAAATACGTCGATGCAACGACATACATATTATGCTCTATGAGCTCCTTAAATATTCCACGGACAGAATACGATATAAGTATATATTTATGAGCGAATGAATAACGCATCGCGACACCGATATTTCGAATGCAGCCAATTGCCCTTTCAAATGATAGATTTCTGTAGAAACAAAATGGGTTATCGTTCGAATTGTATTTTCTACGCTTATTTATAAATAATTTTTAACCTTTGCCGTATAATGCCAATTGAATATTTCAAATCGATACCTGGAGCGGTCGACTTTGGTAAGAAATATCGATCGATAAACGCGAATGAAAATTTTGTACTTTTTTACTGAAAAAAAGGAAAAGAAAAATGGAGGAGCTTATGAGATATTTTTAGACGTCAATTTTTTATTTATGTACGTTGATTTGAAAATGTTGGACGATTAATTTTTTATCGATCATCGTTCAAGGACTAGGGACAACGACCGCAGCGCCAGTGCCGAGAATACCGGAATCTCGCGATGAACTTCTCCTAGAAGAAAACAGCTTTCTTCTTTACCGACGGCTCGCGGTAACTTCTGTATCGGACGGTGAAGAAGTTTCCCCTAGACGCGACGCACGTTTTCGAAAAAATTTTATGCAATCTCAGAGATACGACTACCATAGTTTTCCCGATCTAAATAACGCGTGAGTGTCGATTTTCGAATTGTATGAGCCGAAAAATTGTAAATAACGAAATCGTTGCGTTTGATCGTTCTCGGCAGAGATGGCGCCAACGTATGCTTAACTACCCTTAAATTTAGTATCTTTTGTAATAAACTGCTAACGACCTCCCGGTTGATTATTTTATTACTAAATGCACAAGCTCTGTAAATTACATCGAACCTTAATCACCGTCATTCAATGAACGCGCAATATTTACATACTTGAAACATTTACCTGCTTAATTTATGCAATATGCAGCGCTACGTATCGACATCGTTGCACGAAGTACTTTTACGTTCTTTAATACCTTTTCACGACTTCCTGCTAAAGCATAAACGTTAAATTATACCAGGGACCCTAGAGTTTCGGGGGGAGAAAGATGATTTTCGTTCAAAAATCGGTACAGGAAGTTACTCCTTCTCGAGTTGGATATTTAAACCAATTCCAAGTTTAAAACGAATACCGTTTACTCGAATTCCACAAACGAACTGTCGTTTTACATCGAATAAACGTTTAATATTCCACCTTTAAACGTGGAAACTTTTGAAACAACGAATTCCTCGAAAATTAGCAATTTTAAGTACCGCTAATGAATTCGTGACAGGCGATTGAAAGGTATAGTGCTACAATCGAAATTGAAGCACCGATACGTCGAATAGATCGGCGAGTTTCGCTCGTTAATAGCAAATTACGAGCGTGCAGTGGAAAACAAAAACGAAAAATTCTTCCATTCGATGGACTACAATTTACTTAAATTGCGGCTGCCGGAAGCAGCCTATTTGAGGGTGAATAAAAATTGTTTGAAAATTTTCGTTCGACTGGAAACGATATCGTACTCGGCTCCGAATTGATCGATTTCAATCGAGCTCGAGTATTGCCAGCGATTAATCGTTAGAGCGGAACCAAAGACACGCCGATTGTAAATTCGATTCTTCGTCTGGCGCGACGAATCGAGGATCGAAAGGAGAATCGAAAGGAGGATTTTCGTTAGGCCTGGATCTTTTTCGTCAAACTCGAGGTTCGAGCTGTGCAGAGAAGGTGCCAGAGACGCGTTTGTTCGATGGAAGACGGGTGTTTTCAATGTCTTTTGCAATTTCGCCGCGGTACCAGTTACGCGAGGGACCGATCGCGTTTGCAGCAACAGCGAAAATAATGATCGGCCATCGATTGGGACATTTAAATTTCACGCTCTATAGAAAACAACGAGGACCGCCGAATCACGGTGTTAACGTTAACGACGCCAGGATTCGGCTGCCGTTTCGTCGAACGCGAAAATTAAATGATAATGATATCCTACACCGACGCTGCGCGAAATACTTGCGGCCTCGAGTCGAGAACATTTATTTTCTTCTCTCTCTTTGCCCTTTCTCGTCGTACTTTCCTCCCTCTTCGACTCAGCCTCCGCGTTTCCTTCCCCTTTTTCCACGCTTTCGTCTCTCTTCGTCCTTCGTTCCTTTCCGCGCTGCGTTTTTTGTTCTGTAAAAATCCTCGTTAACTCGAATCACGATTCTCGCGTATTATATAGAGTCGGTACCGACTTTCCACTTTTCCCGGGCTAAATAAATCGTTAGAGGTGGCTTGGTGGCCGAGCGCGAGCTAATGGCGCTCCTCTTATTATTCTTTCTCGGTTTTCCCGGCGAATCGCTGGCTTAATCAACGTTCCAACGCGCATATAGGGAGGACCGACGAATGATACCGTGGAACGATCGTTTAATTGACAGGCTTCGATGACAGGGCGAGCTCAAACGCGGCACTCGCCTTCGCTGCATTTCGCCGAGGTACGAACAAAATGGCTGAGATATGCAGCAGAACGGGAAAATGTTTATTCGAGACGAGCGATATCTTTTTCGTCGATAATTCGATAACGAAAGCTCCTTCGAACGATATTTCGCTGTCGCGACGTTCCGTCGAGATCGAATGATATCGCCGATAACGAAATCACGCGAATTACCTTGACGTTTAAGCGAGATTTTCTTCTCAGGCTCCACCCGAGAGAAGAAGAAGATAGAGACCAAACATCGCGGCACAAAGATCATTACGGTTCCCGTGAATCGTGGCGCATCGTGAAGAAGAGGGTACAATGGGACTAGTTGTCCGACAGAGGTGGAGGAAATCCGTTACGTGGCCATGATGGGAAAACGTAACAACCGAAAAATCACGTACATTACCCGGAACAATAAATTCTATTGGTCGTTAAAGCCCTCGAGCTCCCGCCGGGGGATCCCCTAATCTGACCTAACACCGTAATGTCGTTACCTTGTTAAATAAATGTCGCAGCAGGAGGGTCGTTCGGGGCTGGCCAGTCGGTCTACAAAAGACCAACCCCTAAAAATTGGGCCAACGTCCGCACCGTTCAAAATGGTGGACCAACGCGCCGCTTGAGAAAGCAGAAAGGCACAAAAGGAATGACGTTCGACTGACTGCAATCTTTCTCGGCAATGGCCGATTGCAACCTAACCCCGACCACTCGTTTCGTTGAAAGACGAGATAATCGGGTGTTGATGAAGTGGAACCGCGCGATTCACGTTTGTAACAGACTTCACGATTGCGATCTTACGGCTCGTTTGGAGAACAGCGTTCCTTTCATGTGACAGAAAGTTTCATTCACGCAAACAACGTGCTTTAAGCTACGTAATCCTTTCAATTCGGCTTCTCTGTCTGGGTAGATTCACTCGCGCGCCGATTGTTCGAAATGGCTGTTAACATTTTTAACGTTCTCGCGGTTTCCATGCCGACCAGCAGTTTTCGCGATATCCAACAATCGTGGATCAGTTTCTAAGCAGCTTCTTCGATTTCTTATTAACAAATTTGAGCGTCTGGACTATTCTGATAAATTTTACACGAAACTTGCTTCTCTGCTCGTAGATATCGACGATCATATTTTTCTATTTCCTACAGCGAGTATCCAATCGTTCGCGAAACTCGTGGAAGATTGGAAAATGAGTCGTACTTTGTGAAAATAATAGCGAGAAAAGAAAGCGACGTTGGTGAAATTCAGAGAAATGCAACGCTGTTGCATTCCATCCGAAAATTGTATCGAAAGACACCGCGATATATATGACGGATTATTACGTACCATGCAGTGATTTAATATCAAAGGAACACGCTTTTGTATCGCTGAAAGTACGAAAAATATCGGGCGTAAATGTTTGGCGAAAGGCTTAAAAGCAGAGAGGAAATGCGCCATTGCGACGGCAAGCAACTTCTGTCACTTTCATCCCTTAAATTTCCTCCTACCCTCCTCGACACCTCTATCTTGATTAAAAGGCATTAGAGAAATTTACAGTTGGCCGACAATTACGCGAATAATCGCTGCGTCGAAAATATCAAACGCAAAAGTCTTTGGCAAAGCGTTGTTCGTCACTGCCTGTATTCCACGCGAGGCGAAAACTTTTTAGCAAATTCATTCGACGCGTGTTTTCACGCGGGTTTAACAGTGGCCTGAGCCGATGATTATCGGCGATGACAGTTTTTACGGTTTCGAATAATAACGCAATTCTTCGTCATCCGGTCGAGATGTTTATCCGAAATCTACGTGCACCTGGTAACAGATGTCCGTTTCTCACGTGAACGACAATCGAGATCTCTATCTATATCCTTTGTTTGACTCGCCGTTTGATTTTCATTGGATAACCACGAGATGGACGTTTGACTGCAGCCCACGGGTTTATTCGGACATAACGATACGTTAATTGACAGTGACGTTGGAGCGTCGAAAACGATATAATTAACGAGCTGCGAAGGAAACTGTGAAAAACAAATAGGCCGGGAACCGCGATGAAACAAATTTCCCGCTGGTTCCCCGTGCGGTGGAATCGCGGAGAAATTAGGCTCGGAACGGAAAGAAATTTAGCGATGCCGATGAAAGAACCCGAGCAGGGTTCATTGAAAGCGATGGCCGAGCAAAGACCACTCGCGAATAGCCACGGCGTGGCGTTCG